ACTTCGTTTGTGTTCAACGACCAGACAAAGGCGTCACAGAACCCCACCTTGATCAATAAAGCTTTCATCTATTATTCGCAATATCTAGATTGCAATATCAGTTTGTTGCTTGTTCTTTGTTTGCTCGCAGGAAACAGACCCTCGTGGTCAGGTTGATCGTGCTCCGGCGTGGTCAATAACCTCTCGGAGTTGGTTTAGCGATTGCTAAGGCGCGGCGTCCTCGCATGTTTGTAGTCAGATCGTCAAAGTCGATTTCCACCAAAGCGATATTCATCATCTCATCGAAAGACGGGACACCTTTGCCTCTATCTGCCGCCTCCTGATTCGGTGGAGGAGATGGCTCTGATGGAGGTGGACGAGGCGGAGGAGTCGGAGCCGGAGCTGCCGGATCAGGAGTTGTCGGGCTTCAACATGGAGCAGGCGGAGGCGGAGTTCGTTGTTGCCCAGTCCGACGAGATGGCGGAGCAAGAGTCCATCCTAGAATCTATCCAAGATGAGGCCTATGTGGAGGCCAACCGGGCGTTCCTCCGACGGGAGCAGGCGGAGTCCGACGCGCTCTTCGCCGAACTTGACACAAAGATAGAGTCAGACGAGGCTGGAGCGAAGCAGCCGGAGCTGCAGCCGCCGCCCATGCTGTCGGAGCCGGGCACGGAGATCGTCGACATGTCCGACGACGAGTATCTAGGTGATCGACGTAGTATGTATGTTTCTTTTTGGTTTGCATGTCTTTGTATGGATTTGAGAATCTAGTATGAGATGTACGACTGCAGCTGTGGAAATTTGAGGCATGCCTAGTCGGTGCCCATGGAAGCGTCCGCGGATGTTTGAGGGGCCAGATTTTTCAAGTCCGACTCTAGATGCTCTAACTGTAGCTGTTATGAACTAGATCTGTAACGCGATGGGCAAAATAGGCCAGATATATACATGGTACATATGGACATATACCCCTATAGAAAGGAGCAACTACACAACTCTATTAACAGTATTTGGCTTCACATAAGATATTATAATGACATTTATATCTTCTAGAAATTGTAATTTTGGACGTATGATTCTATAGCTCGCATATTGTAGTAACTTCTGTTCAGATACAATATGCATAGTTCATATCTTACAAGTGTTAACATTTGATAAAAAAAGATTATCCAATTCGATGGTAAACTCATCTTACATTCTCTTAAACAATAAACAGGGTGCACCGTGGAGTTACTAAAGATTGATGTTGAACTTATTCAAGTTGGTTTGTACTGATTAGCCAAGTGATTATTCGGTATATCTTAATATATCGTGCAATAAAATTCTACGTACTCGCATAGGATGTGATTGAGCGCTAAAACTCATAGTTAAGTTATTGCAATTTCCATGTTTGATATAATTATTTTTCTCCATAAAGCAGTAAAATACACTTAAATTATGATGACCATATGGCCAAAAGGACAGCAGTTACTTTCAGTATATTAGTACTTTATTCGTGCAAATTTGAGTGAACTTGTGGGCACCTATTATGTTAGGTGTTTATAAATCTGATTGGAAGGGGACTTGGACCAGATAGATTGGGATATGTAAGCTTCTTCTTCCAACTGGATTGAGC